AAAAATCAATTTCTAAGCTTGCTCTATAAAATGAGGAAATAAGTGAAGTCTTTTACCACCTTAATCTAACCTAGATAATAGTTACATAATACTAAAAGAATGTGTAAAAGTTAAGGACAAAATTGCGCTCTTGCAAAAGGAAGAAAAGAAAACCACAAGGGAGAGATGAAAAAAAAAGAAAGATTTTTTTAATGGAGAGAGGATGGTCAATCAAACATTATATATGGAAGCTGGAAAATGAGAGAAATGTATGGAAGGAACTAGAAAACTTAACTAAAGAGATTGACAAACAAAGAAGGAGAGAGAAAATGAGAAACATGAAATTCGCTCAAGAGTACAAGATATTATGGAAAGAAGAAGAAAAACCTCATTATTTGAAACATGAAGGAGTAAAGGGAAAAAACGAACTACAATTAACTGCAAGATTTAGATTGGGAAGTGAAAATAGAGCGTCAAGGTATTGGGAATAAGAAGAAAAGAAATTATGCAAATTATATAAAAAGGAGCCAGAGACGCTTGAACACATATTTGAGCGATGTAGAGAAACAGGAAATTCTACAAAAAATTGGAAAACTCAACTGGAAGGACTGGACAACCTGAAAAGGATGAATAAAATCTTGTGGAAGAGGAAAATAGCAGTACAAGAAGAATAATAAAAACCGCACCTTTGTACTTTGTATATATAAAACATATTAAACAAAATAATTCGAAGTGGTCTGTAGTCTGTCGAAATCGTTTGGCTACAATAAAATGTTATGGAATTTTGCATATAACTTATTTATATCGTCGTTTACAACATACCTACCAATATTTAAAGTGTCTCAACGGTATAGATTTGGAGATAAGAAGAGTTATGGAGCCTCTAATATAGAAAAATTAAACAAAATAATTCGAAGTGGTCTGTATTCTGTCGAAACTGCCAGACGCAGATCGCGATTTCGATCTTTTTGGATCTCATCAGCGCGTCGCAGGCAGCCCAACAGAACACAGACCAACCTTTACCTGCTGTCTTAACAGCGCGTTTTTGAAAATACCACAAACGGCGTGAAAAAAATTATTTAAAAATATGGACCTTGTTGGAGCATACGTAATCCTCAAATGTAGCATCGTACTACAGATAGCGCTCACCACGCCGTTTGTGGTATTTTCGAAAAATTAAGTTAACTTTCATAATAATGACTAACCACTTCACAGAAATATTGGCTGTGTAGATTTTTGCTTAAACACCTTATTCATTTAGAAAATACTACAAATGGCGCAGTAAACGCCATCTGTAGCACGATGCTACATTTTAGGATTAGGATTAGGATTAGGAACCTTATTCATGTTTAATTGATCGTACGTACCTATAAACACTCTTGAATGTATGAATCTTGCCTTGGATTATGCACTGACAAAACTCCACCTGTTCATTGAATTTTAAAGCTCCTGTTGCATATGGTCCCTAATATTCACTCTTTCTGTTTGTGCTTACTGAAAGTGATAAGTGTCTTGACAAATTTTTACCTTAATAAAGACCATTAAATGAGAGCACTCTCATTGCGGCATGTGGAAACTTTTTAGCTTGAATGTAGGGAGGTAGTTGAGTAACATGAATCTTGACCCTAGAGTATGCACTGACAACTCCACCCCTTCATTGAATTCTAAAGTTCCTGTTACATGGTTCCGTATAACGGGTTCGGCCCGTCCTATGGCTCCTTTTCACGGCGGCAGCGGACACATGGAATGCAAATGCTCCGTGTAAAGGGGTCGCATTGTATCCAAAGCTGCTAAGGATGTGCGATTTCTAATAGGATCTCTCCTTTTAAGGGTGTTTGGGAGGTACAATCGGAGACAAGAGTACATAAAATTAGAAATTCGTGATTAATTAGGTTTTGCAGCATATCATGAGGTAAATAAATACTATCTATACACAAGAAAAAGTATACGGTTTGAGAGAAAATTTGGAATTGACCAAAAACTTTGAATAAAATAAGATATAACGAATAATATGGAAAATTTTTAACTGACTTTTGGCAGTGAATATGCCTTGATTTCAACTTCGAAACAAAAAAATATTTAGTTTCAATCTCNGAGTTTGTGAGTGCCGCGAGTGCCGCAAAAGAGGCTTTGTGGATTTCGCGAGTTTTAAATGACTTGGGTTCTAAACGTGAAGTGCTAAAAATGTATTGTGACAACCAAAGTGCGATTAAATTGATTAAAAACTCTGAATTTCACGACAAGTCTAAACATATAGAGGTAAAGTACCATTTTATAAGAGATCTGTTTAAGAAAAATGTAATCAACATTGAATATGTACCATCTGATCAGCAGTTGGCTGATATTTTTACGAAAGCTTTGTCAATTCAGAAATTTGTAGCATTACGTGTTAAACTAGGAATTTGTTCACTTTGATTTTTATTTTTTTATTTTTAAAATATTGTAGAAATCATAGATTTATGATTTAGGGAGAATGTTGAGACTGGTAATTGTTTATATTACAACGGCGACGTGTAGCCGTGAGTTAGCTTAATAAACAGTCATGGATGGAAAATCATAAATCTATTAGATATGTGTTCGATAGTCGCCGATAGACTTTGTTTAGTCTGTAAGAAAACGGTTATTCATATAGAAATAACATGTACGGAAATACTTAAGCAGTCTTTAGTTTTTAGTCTTGGTTCAGCTCTCATTTTGTGAACAGCACATGTACTTATCAATTAAATTATCCTAAGTAAACTACTGTTTCCATTTTTTCATCGCAACTCTGACACAAACATTATACATGGAAGCTGGAAAATGAGAGAAATATATGGAAGAAACTAGAAAACTGAACTAGATATTGATAAACAAAGAAGGAAAGAGAAAATGAGAAACCTGAAATTCGCTCAAGAGTACAAGATATTATGGAAAGAAGGAGAAGAAAAACCTCATTATTTGAAACATGAAGGAGTGAAGGGAAAAAACGAACTACAATTAACTGCAAGATTTAGATTGGGAAGTGAAAATAGAGCGTCAAGGTATTGGGAAGAAGAAGAAAAGAAATTATGCAAATTATATAAAAAGGAGCCAGAGACGCTTGAACACATTTTTGAGCGATGTAGAGAAACAGGAAATTCTACAAAAAATTGGAAAACTCAACTGGAAGGACTGGACAACCTGAAAAGGATGAATAAAATCTTGTGGAAGAGGAAAATAGCAGTACAAGAAGAATAATAAAAACCGCACCTTTGTACTTTGTATATATAAAACATATTGTTTTAATAAAGCTCAT